GAATAATACTTTTAATTTTATTATTTATATATTTGACCAATTATGTGTAAACAATTTTTAAATAATTCCTAATTTAATACTTTAATTTTAATTGTTATATGTTTAATTATTGTAATTTGGCTTTTTTTTCCGTGGCTTATTTTTCCCGTGGCTTTTTTTCCCTGGATTTTTTTTCTTGGTTTTTTTTCCTACATTCAATTCGGACAGACCAAAAACGGTTTAAGTTTTGGTCAGAATATACAACAACAAAGATAAGATGAAAGTTCACAGGTCAAACACAAATTTTGATTTTTTTGGTGCTATAATTATACTTATCATAATTTTCTATAGGAATTTTTTTCCATTGCAATGTTGTATTAAAAACATTTATATTCTACTCACAATGGTGAATTGAGCTAATGAAAATGATAAAGTTATTGAAATATATTTATTATTGTAATACTTAGTATTATAGGTTTACATCTTAAAAATTTTTAATATTTGATGTTTGATAATATATATAACATATAATTTGTCTAGGTAATGCATAGATACCTATATTTATATGGCCATATACCACAATGTATGCAGTGTAATTTTTAATACTTAGCTGTCAAGGTGCATTATAGTTTAATATTAGAATATATTATTTTAAAAATAGTAAAAACTTGATTGGGATTCTTGTAAAAAACATTTTCGAAGAAATATCAAATCACAATAATATCATTGCTCTTCAAGATATGGTAAATTTGTTAACTTAAGATGAAATGGTGGCTTAATTTTAGGATCTAACAATTGGAAATCAATATAATATTGTGTAAAAATAAAATATCGATTTCCATCTCAAATCTAAAAATCTATTTGTTTGATTAGCTCATTAACATGTGAATTTTGGAAAATCCTGTATTAGTAAGCCTTTACAAAGTAGAACAAAAATAACTTGAAAATGACAAGTGGTGTTCCGTCAATAGCGGATAATTGATAGCGRTCCAAATCACTTATAAACGAACAAGCAGGTTTCAGAGGAAGAAAGTCATGCACTGGACAGATACTGAACCTGACGCAAAATATTGAAAATGGATACGAGAAAAAATTGGTGACTGGCGCAGTATTCACGGACCTAACAGCGGCATATGACACGATTAACCACAGAATTYTTTTCAATAAAATGTACGAGATAACAAGGGACTACAATTTAACGTCCTTCATCGCTGAAATGTTAAGAAATAGAAGGTACTTCGTGGAGTTGCAAGGAAAGAAAAGTCGTTGAAGGACTCAAAAAAATGGACTTGCACAAGGTAGCGTATTAGCACCTTTGCTATTTAACATATATACCAACGATCAGCCAACACCATTAGGAACCCAGCGTTTCATATACGCTGATGATCTAGCGCTCACTGCTCAGAATCACTCGTTTGGAAATATAGAAAGCACTCTAAACAACGCACGCACTAGAGGAAATGTCAGTTTATTATAAAAAAAATTGGTTAAAACCAAACCCCAACAAAACCCAAGTATGCACTTTTCATCTAAGAAACAAAGAAGCAAAACGAAAATTAAGAATAATATGGGAAGATATTGCGATTGAAAATACCGAATACCCAAAATACCTTAGTGTCACGCTAGACCGAACCTTATCATTCAAACTTCATTGTGGAAACGTAAAACAAAAAACCCACGCGAGAAACAACCTGATTAGAAAGCTCACAGGAACATCATGGGGAGCAGACCCAAATACTCTAAGAACATCAGCACTAGCACTATGCTACTCAACAGCCGAATATGCTGCCCCCGTRTGGGCCAGATCATGTCACGCGA